GCCAATTGTTGACCTCTGTAATATGTCACAAGCAAATCTGACAATAGCTACTCTAAAAACAAGGATAGGATAGCATCAATTATTACAAAGCCCCAAACCTAAAAAAAAACCTTCTCGAGGCTCCTCCTGCTCTGACCCCCACAATTAACCAGCTACCCATGTTCTGTCATATATATCCCCTCTGTTCCACTATTTTGTTAGTTCTCTGGTAAACTAACAAGAGCCTAGCAAGTACTAGAAAGGGAGAAAACCCCACTAAGTGCTAGACAATGATGAAGAATGGGATTTCTAGTCTGAAGATTTCCCCTTTCCCCCTCAAAATTCACCCCAAAATGACAATAAAGGCAAACAGAAACACCTATCTTTGACGAAACCAGAAGGCAGGTGAAGGCCCAAACAGTGAAAGCAGATAGAGTGGTAAATGACACAGGACAAGGAAGCCCAAGGCTGTGGGTGGGAGGGCATACGCAGAAGGCAAGCCAATAAGCCAAGCCCACAGAAGCCCAGAAAGGCTCAGAATTGGAGGCACCAAGTTCTTCAGAGGGTAGAACACTGGGCTGAAAACAAGGGGCCTGGCTGACATCCATGTAAGGAACAATCAGACCCCCAATTCCCTATACTCCCTCCCCATGACAGCACACCCCATTCTCACACAAGGATTCAGACACAATGGAACACAGGAAGGAAGAGGTACCAGGCTAAAAAAAATAAGAAATTATGTAAAAGACTAAGATCCCGACCCCCAATTCCTTTATCACCTCGCTTCCTAGTACAGCTGGGGAAAGAGAACAAGGGGTGCTGGGAGAGGGGGACTGAGGTGGGGAGTCTCGCATGTCAACCTTTCAATGTTTCCCAAACACTAATAATGTCAAAATCTGGACCAGACCCACCACCTAGCCTGTACTCCATTATTTCTCTGTGCACTACTCATACTTCAGACCAAACACTTGACCAACACTACCCTGTGCCTCTACACCTGAGATTTGCTGTGGGTGTTCCCTCTTCCTAAATGGCTCCCAACTCCTAATCTGCCTCCTGCCTATGACATCACAACACCTGCTGTGTGGGCGAGTCCTCTGCAGAGTGCAGTGGCTGGAGTGGGAACTCAGGAGTTAAGACTGCCAGGGCTGAACCACTCCTCCCTCTAGCCTTTTTTAGCTGTATGTGTAACAGCATCCGAGATTGATTACCCATCAAAGGATAGTAAGAGCATTCCCCTTAAAGGACTGTTGTGAGAAACAGACACAGGTAAAACAAATCGCACTCAAAAAAGTTAGCTATTCTTATTAATTCTCATTCTATATCCATTGGTGCAGAGTATTAATAAACAATTTACCCAGTGATCATTTCTTATTCCTTTTTCTCTCTAAATGTGTGAGTGCATGTGTTTTAATGTTGTGGGGGTAAGGGAACAAATATTAGGAAAAGGTACTTTCCGTGCACTCCAACTCCACTGAGATTTCAAGTAAAAGGTGTGATGTCACCCTTAAAGCCCAAGCCAGAGTTAAAAGCAAACAGAAACCTGATTCACAGGAACTATACATCAAAAACCTAAAATAAAAAGTGACCAAATGTTGTTCATTTGCTCAACAAATTAATGACATCTTTCAGCTTGCTTCCTAGCTTTATCAAATACAAGAGAAGTTCTAACCCTGTCAAACACTCATTTAAGCAAATGACTTTCATAATATCATTATCAAAAGCATGTCTTTGGACAAACCACTTCCTCAACCTTGGCCTCAGTTTTCTCGTGTTCAAAATGAGAAGACTGGAAGAGAGCTATATTTTCTACATGGTTCCTCTTCCAGTTCTTTATTCTAACAGCCTGTGAATATACCATCATTAAAAATTGTACTTCAAGTGAATTCTGTGGCTATCCTGCCTGCACATTTGGCTCCACTTCTGTCCTCTTTCTTTTTAATTTACGAAATAACCAAAATACAATTCCAACACCAATGCCCAGAGGAGGTTCTCTAAACAAGCATCTCTCCATACAGCTACAAATACAAATTTCTACAAAAGCCAAAAGGAAGGAAACGAAAAGAAATAAACAGGAGAACTAAGTGCAAAGGGAAGACAGAAGCAGAAAGGGAGATTACTGGAAATCAAAAGCAGTGATTCAGGACACACAAAAGAAGCAAAGCAGAAAAAGAAGAACAAGAGAACCAGAGCATATTCAAATTACTTTAACCCCAACTGGATCTCACTCAGATCCTGTGCACAAATGCTTGCTAACTTCCATAGCCACCAAGGACATACAGAAGACGTAATATGACTTTTATCAAAGGCCACTTTTAAAATGATCCCAAAGTTGTATCTCCTTGGAGAAAAGATAAGTTTTAGGTTTGAGCAATGATGTTCCATCAATGTATAATAGTTGGCAAGGAAGACATTTAACAGCCAGAATGAAATTGCCACCCATCAAATATAAGGATAATGAACTAGAAAGAAAAAGAAGAGAGAGCAAGAAAAATAAAAATTATTTTATTTTAAAAATACTTCAGCTTTCCTTTCGCTAGTGTGGCCAGAGCCATGAGTATGCTCAGGCCTCAGATGAGGCTTGCCTCTAGTGTCTTCCACTGTGGCAAAAAGAAAGTCTGGTTGGACCCCAACGAAACTAATGAAATCGCCAATGCCAACTCCCGTCAGCATATCTGGAAGCTGATCAAAGATGGGCTGATCATCTGCAAGCCCGTGACTGTCCATTCTCAAGCTCGATGCCGGAAAAACACCTTGGCCCGCCGGAAGGGCAGGTATATGGGCATAGGTAAGCGAAAGGGTACTGCCAATGCTCGAATGCCTGAGAAGGTAACCTGGATGCGGAGGATGAGGATTCTGCGCCAGCTACTGAGGAGATACCGTGAGTCTAAGAAGATTGACCGCCACATGTATCACAGCCTGTACCTGAAGGTGAAGGGGAATGTGTTCAAAAACAAGCAGATTCTCATGGAGCACATCCACAAGCTGAAGGCAGATAAGGCCTGCAAGAAGCCCCTGGCTGACCAGGCTGAGGCCCACAGATCTAAGACCAAGGAAGCACGCAAGCGCCGTGAAGAGCGCCTCCAGGCCAAGAAGGAGGAGATCATCAAGACTCTGTCCAAAGAGGAAGAGACCAAGAAGTAAAACTCCCCTCTCTTGTCTGTACATAGTGGCCTGGGTCATAACAGGTGAATCATTTGAATAAAACAAGCTTTGTCTGCTTAAAAAAAAAAAAAAAAATACTTCAAACGTTTGCTTTAATTTTTTAAGAACTAAAATATTAAAGTCAAAAATAATGACAAAACAAAATCCGAAATTGGTAGAGGTTTAGTTTGATTTTTTGTTATAGGAAGGGAAGATAGCAAAACAATGAGAGGAAAGGGGATTTGGCAACCTTTGTGTGTGTCACGTTGGCGTGGGGGTGGGGAGGTGGTGTCCACTGTTTGGCACAAAAGAGACCACCGAAACCCACAGACTCAGATGATCACCACAGCAAAAAGCTTTCTTCTAGAAAACATAAAGATAGCTAGAAAAGTTGTAAATAAAAGTAAAAGGCTATTAAATGACTTGATTTCCTAGCATGCAAGTCACACTCAATTACACCACTGAGTTAAATTTTAAAACCAGGCAGGGTGTGGTGGCTCACACCTGCAATCCCAGTACTTTGGGAGGTTGAGACAGGAGGATCACTTAAGCCTAAGAGTTTGAGACCTGTCTAGGCAACACAGCAAGACCCAGTCTCCACAAAAAATTTAAAAATTAGCAGGGCATGGTAGTGTGTTCTTGTAGTACCAGCTAGTTGGGAGGCGGAGGCTAGAGGATCTCTTGAGCCCACAAGTTGGAGACCGCGGTGATCACACCACTACACTCCAGCCTGGGTGACAGATCAAAACCCTGTCTCTTAAAAAAAATTGTTTTTTAAACCAAAATGCTAACAATTCCTGGTTAGAAGATTCTTAGTTTTGCACCACGGCATTATTTTAAAGTGTATATTTTCGAGTTCCAATTAAATATTATTTACCCATTTTCTCTTAAGCTAGAGATAAAATATTTTATTCTTAACATTAAGGTAATGTACCCAGTTGAGTAAGCTAGATGACAATGCACACTGAATTATAACTAATACTTCTTGCTCTGTTCAAAGACCCAAATACCAACCAGTTTCTGAAAACTTATTTTAAAAACGTTCATGAAATAGAGACAAAAATTACATTATTCCCTTGAAAAGCCATAAGCTAAAAACAGAGCTCAGTGAAGCAGAAGACATTTCTGTGAAGCCCATTTTCAACTTCTGATTTAAATAAACATGTAAAATTTAAAAAATCAATTCTAATGTATATGTAAAGTTAACAAGACAGAATTTTAATCACTCATCATTATGAACTTTTGTAAAAGTTCCCCTTTGTTGTCTAAAAGAACTGAGTAAGGCTTTATTCAGCTCTCTGGACTTGAACCCTGCAGTTCACGCTTAACTTGGCCTGTCCTATACAACTAATGGTCCAGACAGCATTGGTGAGACAGTGTTAACCAGTGTGATACCAACGCACCTTCCCACGCAGGCACAGGAACGGCAAAAACGTCTAAACACACCCTTTCTTGGATGCTCCGTGGTTGCAGAAATGGGTGAACACATCAAATGCAGGAAAGTACCGGCACCCAGGCCAAAATTCCACCCCCCTTCTGTAAGTGGATCTTCTAAGACTGGCTCACGTGACTCATGTGTGACTTCCAGAGGTATCTGGGGACAATGCAGCAACCCTCAATAATGAGGTTTAATTCTTAGAGACATCCCTGCTCTGGACCCTAAAGCAGGCTCTTCACTGAGGTAGGGAAAGGGGTGAGAGAGAGTGGACCTATGTCCACACCCACACCCTAGTAGCTCCTGGGGATGGGGTGAAGCAGAAAATACATCATACAATAGTTTGCCTACCAACACCCAAGAACAATGGTTTACCACTTTTTAGTTCACAGCCCCTTTGAGAATCCACGGCTTTCATCAGAATCACAGCCCAGAAACATATACAAATTTACCTTCAATTTCAGAAGGGTTCACAGACAATATGGCCCCACACACAGTCAGCCCATGGACCCCAGATTCAAACCCTGTCCCACCCTCAGACAGAAAGAAGACCATGGGAGAGTCTCTCTTCTCAAATCCCTAAGCATTTTGGTCTGGCCACCAACAATCTCCCAAGACCAGACACAGCTGGAGTCAAATGTTGGGGGTGGGGTAAGCAGGGGATACAGTATAGGAGACCAGCCCGAGCTTCAAGAATGCCAACTAATCTAGTCTGATATAAGATGTCTCCAAATGGGACCCTAAGTTATGTTGTCAGCCATCCTTAGGACTTGTCCAGGAGATGCCAGCCAACCACAGCTCTCTAATGAGCTGATTAAAAGGAAGGAACAAAGAAGGGAGAGAAGAGAAAAGAGAAAAATTGTAATGAGATTTGGAAAGTAGCTTATCCATGTGGTTTATATGTCTCTTTTCCCCACTCCTCTTCCTTGTGAAATGTGATGAGCTTAGTGGAAATGAAGGAATCAGAGTAGCCTACTGTGCTGCCTAGAAAATAAGCTATCCTTTCCTCTCCCCACCACTGCAACCTTCAAGGAGTCACATCCCAAATGTATAATTCAGCTGCATAAGCTGAGCTATGATTTATATTCATAACTACTGTCCATTGAATGTATTAAAAATAACTCCATGAAATACTTCAAAACATTTGCAGTCTTATGGCGTTTGTATTTCCAGGTGCAAATACCTTAATTGATTCTTGTACATAGCAAACCCAACTATCTGCATGGAAAGAAAGGCTTTGGCTCCAATGGCAAAAAAGCACAGATTAAAAAAGGGCACACTCTAAGACCCCATTTCAAAAAAAAAAAAAAAAAAAGGCATTATACTATTTATTTAAATTTACAGACCAGACATGATGGCTCAGGACTGTAATCCTGGCACTTTGGGAGGACAAGGTGGAAGGACTGTTTGAGACCAGAATGGGCAACATAATGAGAACTTATCTCTACAAAAAAAATTTAAAATTAGCCAGGAGTGGTGGCATGTGCCTGTAGTCCCAGCTATTTGGGAGGTTGAGGCAAGAGGATCTCTTGAGCCCAGGAGTTTGAGGCTACAGTGAGCTATGACTGCACCACTGCACTCCAGTGTGTGTGACAGAGCAAGACCCTATTTCTAAAAAAAAAAAAAAAAAATTTACACTCAACTATTAAGCTGCATGGCTGGGTGTGGTGACTCACATCTGTAATCCTAGCACTTTGGGAGGCCAGGGCAGGAGGATTCCTTGAGCCCAAGAGTTCAAGACCAGCCTGAGCAACACAAAAAATACAAAAATTAGCCAGGCATGGTGGTGCACATCTGTCGTCCCAGCTACTTGGGAGGCTGAGGCAGGAGGATCACTTGAGCCCAGGAGTTGGAGGTGGCAGTGAGCTATGATGATGCCATTGCACTCTGCCCAGGCAACAGAGCAATACCCTGTCTCAAGAGGGGGAAATACATATATATACACACACACACACACACACACACATATATATTTAAAACTGCTTGCATTATTATGCAAGAATTGATGTGTATGCCTTATCTTGCAAACTATATAATGTTTATATGATGCATGCAGTACAGTTTCCCTAACCCATGAGAAAACATCACAGAGCAAACAGAAATAGCCCCACTACCCAGATACTGCTCATTCGGAAAGATGAAAATAAGCTGAAAGCCCTAAACTTAAGATATAATGTTCGAAAGTTGACATCTGAAAGTTATACTCACCTCCCCTGTTCCCCCATGTTATGAGAGTTAAAGAGAAATGAGATTATCAAAGGCAACAGAAGTAGGGGGGGAAAAAGAAATTAAGTTGCTAAAAAATACCACAAACTGGAAAATCTATTCCAGAATAAAAAAAAATCTCAAGTTGGTGTCATTATAAATCATGTCTCTCTGCCTGGTTTTGCAGAGGAAGCCAGGAAGAGATAGGGGGAGGCTCTCACCCAAGCATCAGTGAACTTGGCCCTGAAATCTGTCATCTGTGTCTCCCTGGCCAAGCTATGCCTAACAAATCTGCAAATGTACAAAATGACAAACCTATGCTAGGTTTTTTTTATATTCTTTTCAGCTCTAAGTCTATAATTCTACCGACAGTAGACAGAAGAGGCACCTGCGCCACAAAATCTTTTCCTCCAGATAGAGCGCTCCTTCCCACCATGGTCCATTTCCCCAGGTGCTCAGACTCTGAGAATCACAACCGCCAGAAAACTTGCCAAATAACAATGCATACCTTTGGGAACATGGTTCTGGCTTCCTTCAGGGAGGCATGAAACTGATCAGGCCAAGGCTGAGGTGCAGCTTGTGACAGACAGGGTATCTAATTAGGGGCACAGTTCTCACAGCTAGAGCAGGACAAAGGCAGCAGCAACAAAATACCCAGACTTAACCCTCTGCAGAGTCTGAAGTAGGTCTCACACATGGACCTGTACAGTGGTTTCGATTTAAAAACTAGGTACCACTATTTTAAAAACAGGGTATTTCATAAAAAGGCCAGGATATCTGCATTCTTTAAATACAAAAGATCAAGCAACTACAGGCTGGAGCTTAGGGGACCATGACCCCCAACAGAGAGAGACTCAAGCTCTTCAGGTCCTGGCCAAGTTCACTACCTTAAGTTATAAGCCTAGCTCTGGGGACAGGAGTTTGAAATCTCCTACTCTAAAATCTTTTCCAGTGGCTATTAACTGTGACTAATACCACCCTAAGGTGTTTGGGTTCTCAATAAAAGAGAATGTCAAAACACTATGCAAATGAGCATTATTATGCTACAATATCTACATAACAGGCCTCAGAAAGGCCCCCTTTTAGGAAAACCTACCCAAAAAAGCTCAAAAGGTGCATTTAAACACACCTTAGATTTAACTTTCCAAGGATTTTAAAATATCTGTCAAACTGGTTGTCTGAGTGCTTTTGTCAATTTTGGAATTCCAAAGGCATTTATATGTGCCTACGACTTGAAAATGTAGAAACGTTTCACTCTAGTTTATATTCTGCTTCTCCTGCACCTCCAGACTCTTGCAGAAACTATAAATGCTTCCGATTTGTCTTCTTCACATCTCAGTATGGAATTGATCTAACCAGCAATGACTTTTCTAGTCAAAAAAGAGAAGGGGAGGGGAAACCTAATCAGGAAGTTAAAGGTTAAAACAAAAATGGGCCAAACTCAGTCCAAAGTCTGTACAACAGGTGGGACACGCATCAAGCAGCGACTTGCCTTCCAAGAACATGTCGTGCGGCTCAGTTTTCCTGTGGCTGTGATAGGGGCAACCTTACTTCCTCCCTGTGCCAGGTTGGAGCAAAGATCTAGAAGGAGTTAGAATACAATAAAAAGCTTCTCGGGTTTGTTTCCCAAGTTTCCGGAGGTTTTCTTTTTAACTTTAGAGATATGTACATTAAAAGGGGGAGGGAAGAGAGACACAGAGTGACTAGAATCGTGACAGGGATCCTCGGGAAAAATTTGTAGGCGGACCCTGCACAAAAGTCTTCAAATTCCTCCCTGTCGCCAAAGACCTCACCTATCACTGAGGGCGCCGAAGGACCCCGGCTGAAGACCCCACCCCAGCTCAGCCTTCCGGAGGGGACCCGAGCCCGCCGCCGCCCGCGCCCCGCGCACTCACTGCTCGGCGGGGCACTGCATCCCGGGCCGCGGCAGCCCGCCGGCCGCCGCCTTCCTGCCCTCCCGCGCCGCGGCCCCCGCCTCCCGCGCCGGCGTTTCAGCGCCACTGGCGCCCGGCCACGCTCCGGGCTGGGGCATGGTGTGCTGACTCATGCGGCCGCCCGCAGCCGCGGCACAGCAGAAATTTAGCGGGATCCGAGCGACCCGGGCCCCCTCCCGTCGGGGCGCCCGGCGGAGACCGTAGCCGCTCCGTTGCCCCGGCAGCTTCCGAGGGACCACAGATGGCTTCCGCGCGCGTCACGGCGGCCCGCCCCGCGACCTTTGACCCGCCACGAGAAGGCGTGGCCGGAGGCGGGGCGACGCGGCGCCTGCGCCTGCGCGCGCTGAGCCTCCGGGGCTCCGGATGGTCCGCGAGGGGCAGCCACTGCGCATGCTCCGTCTCTAGCACCTCTGGCTAGCTTCCCTCATTGGCGGTGTCCAGACGGGTCCCCCAGTGTGAGAGGGCGGGAAAGAAGCGGACAAGCGGCAGGACGCGTCCTGGGTGAGGAGAAAGGCCGGCCTTGGGTGTGAAAAGGTGCTAACGCGTCTGGGCGCCTTGTAGCGTCAGTCTCGGCTTGCAAGCGTCGTCTTCCGACGGCCCTGTGCTGCGGCTTGCCCTGGCAGTCCCCAAGTGACACATCCGTAACGACTTGCCCCCGAGCCAGCTGTGCTTTGGCCTCAGATGTCTGGTCAGGCTTGTGGCTCCAGAACTGGGAATTCCTGCCCCTCCCCGGGGTTGGGGCGGGGAAAGGGAACCGGTTCGGCTCAACCCAGTTGAGACAGCTCTGCAGCGTGTGTTCTTGGTTTATATTCTTCCATATGGAAATTTGGATTTGAGGGGAGCCAAAGCAAAGGGAAAATATTAGCTGACTTCAAAGATCCGAAGCTGAAATGTTTCATCTCTGAGAAGGGAGCAGAGGAGTAGCTTCTAAGGATGTTTAGCAATGTAGGTGCAAAAAGCATCACTCCAGCAAAGAGTAGGACGAAAGCATGGATTAATGGAATGGCATGGACAATTCAAAAACCTGCAAGTGGTTCAGGGGTGGAGCAGGTAGGGAGCAGGGGATTTTATTGAAAAATGAAAGTGGAAGAAGTGTGCTGGGGACCAGATCATGAAAAGCCACGTTAGGCTGTGGAGCTTGTGCTTAATTCTCATTGCAAGATCTTGAGATCATTTTGAAAATCACTTTGCAGCTAGAGAAAAGATTGGAGAAGGGCAAAACTGGAAGACTAGTAGGGGCCTCAAAGTGAGAAACTGGATGGAAAGATTGTTTTTATTTTGAGGCAAAGAACTCTGGAGTGTTCTTTTTCCTTTAACTTGAAAAATTAATAAATACACATGCTAAAAAATGCAGAGCTTACAAAAGAATATATAAAGTATACTTCTTATGGATATTAAGGGTGTGGGATTGTAGTGGGTTGAATAGTGTCCTCCAAAATTCATGTCCACCTGGAACCTCACGTTGTGACCTTATTTGGAAATAGGGTCTTTGCAGCTGTATTAGTTAAAATGAGGTCATACTGGATTAAAGTGGGCCCTAAATCTAATGATGGGTGTCCTTTTAAGAGAAAAGAACACACAGACATATGGACACAGAGCAAATAAGGCCATGTGGAGAAGGAAGCAGAGTCTGGAGTGATGCAGCTATACAGCCAAGAAATGCTAAGGAATGCCAGGAGCCACCAGAAGCTAAGAAAAGGCAAAGAAGGATTATTCCAAAGAGCCTTCAGACGAGGCTTGGCCGTGCCAACAACCTGCTTTCAGACTTCTAGCCTCTAGAACCATGAGAAAATAAGTTTCTGTTCCTTTAAACCACCCAGTTTGTGGTACTTTGTCATGGCAACCCCAGGAAACTATCACAGGGATCAGAGTGAAAAGATGATAAAATTCTATCAGGCAAAATGTATTGATATGGGCCCACCAAACATTCTGGATTCAACACTTTATCTCGAAGGGTTAGGAAAAGCTCTAACAGTATGTTTGGTTGCTGAATGTGACTTTTCCTATTATGCCTGACAAACTAGGGAAATTACCATAGGGTGGGTTAGGGGGCCTACTGTGAAAAAATCTGAGTGAAAACTCCACTGATCACTTGACTTACAATACACTCCAAAGTACCTACATTAAATGAAGTTGAAGTACCAGGACTGCCTAGGTATACTGTAGAGAAAGATATCCATAGGCTTGGAGAGATTGGACTGTAAGAATGAATTAATCATTTAAGACCTGCTCTCCTACCCCAGGAGGGTCCAGAGGACACACCTTTCACCATGACTGTGAGAAATAAATTTGTGAGGGGAGCCCCAGCATCCTTGAAGTAATCTGTGGTTGCTCTTCTCCTTAGTCATATATATCTTACAGTGTAAACTGCCACCATCAAAGTGGGATTCCAAAATACAGTGGGGATAATGGGATCCCAGGATGGTAGCAACCAAAGGGTGGTACTTTGGCACGTAATTGCCAAAAAGTAGGTGGGCATGATTAATGGCAGGCAGAGCCAAAGCAGTATTGTCTCACAGAGACTTATGTCATTGGCTAGTTCATCATTGTGTACCTAGAAAACAAATAAACGGGCAATCTACTAAATTCTTACTTGATCCGTATAAGTGGAAGAGTTCTAGGACTAGTAAGCAGAAATCCTAACTTGCATCACCAGAACAGAGAGTCACAACCCCTCAATCAAGTCTCAGACTTGAGCCAGTTTACACACTCAGCCCTTTTTGAATGAAGGGGAGCCTGGACACTCTTGAAGAAGGACCATGCTATGTTGCCAAAAAGGTATATTGTTAATCTTTTTCCCAGCCTTCCCCAAAGGGACTTTTATGGCCATCTACCAGGGTGACCATGCACTGGGCGAAGAGAAATAATCAGACTTTGCAGGAATTACTAGACAGTGGTTCTGACCTGACACTAATTCATGGAAACCCACAACATTATTATGTCTACCGGTCAGAGTAGGGGCTTGACAGAGATCAAATGATCAATGGAGTTTTAGCTCAGATTCATCTCATTAGAGCCAGTGAGTCCCTGGACCCATCCTGTGGTTATTTCTCCAGTTCCAGAATGCATAATTAGAATAGGCATACTCAATAACTACTGGCAGAATCCCCATGTTGGTTTCCTGACCTATAGAGTGAAGTCTGATAGGAAAGGCCACATGATAGTCACTAGAACTGCTTCTGCCTATAAAAATAGTAAACAAAAAGCAATAGCACATTCTTGGAGGGATTACAAGGGTATGGTGCCACTGTCAAGGACTTGAAAGTTGCAGAGGTGGTGATACCCATCACATCCCTTTTCAACTCACCTATGCGGCATGTACAGAACACAAATGGATCTTGGAGAATGACAGTGGATTCTCATAAACCCAATTATGTGGTGACTCCAGTTACGCTGCTATTTCAGACATGGTTTCATTGCTTGAGCAAATCAACATATCTACTAGTGCGGGGTATGCAGCTATTGATCTGGCAAATGCTTTTTCCCTTTATACGTGTTGGGAAAGACCACCAGAAGGAATTTACTTTCAGTGGCAAGACCAGCAATACGACTTTCTTTCCTACTCCAGGGATATATCAACTCTTCAGCCTCGTGTTGTAAGTTAGTCCACAGTGGTCTTCCAAAGAATTTCACACTGGTCCATTACATTGATGATATTACGCTGATTAATCCTGGTGAACAGGAAATAGCAATTACTCTAGACATTGGTAAGATATTTGTATGTCGGAGGACACAAAATAAATCCCACAAAACTTCAGAGGCCTTCTACCTCAGTGAAATTTCTGGGGTCCAGTGGTGTGGGACATGTCAAGACATCACTTCTAAGGTGAAGGATAAGTTGTCGCATTTGGTTTCTACAACCAAAAAAAGAGGCACAATGCCTAGTGGGAGAGAGAAGAGGAGGCTCTACAACAGGTCCACGCTATTGGGCAAGTTGCTCTACCATGTGATCCAGCAGATCCAACGGTGCTTGAAATGTCTGTGGCTGATTTAGATGCTGTTTAGAGTCTTTGGCAGCCACCTATAGGTGAATCATAATACAAACCCTTAGATTTTGGAGCAAAGTCCTGCCATCCTCTGTGGATAACTTCTCTCCTTTTGAGAAACAGATTTTGGGTTGCTAATAGACCTTAGTAGAAACTGAACACTTAACCATGAGGCCATCAAGTTAACATGTGGCTTGAGCTTAGTGATAAATCATGTCGATAGTATGTATCCTTGATATGATCTGATAAAAATGGCACTGCATTTCTGTTGTTTTCCAAAAACGTTCAACCCCAGTCTAATTAGGAAAAAAATATCAGACAATTCCACTTAGAGGGGCATCCTACAAAAATATTTGACCAGTACTCTCCATAACTGTCAAGGTCATCAAAAACAAGAAATGCCTGAGGAACTGTCACAGCCAAGAGGAACCTAAGGAGACATGGCAACTAAATGTAATGTGGTATCCTGGATGGGATCTTGGAACAGAAAAAGACATCAGGTTAAACAAAGGAAATATGAACAAACTATGGACTTTAGTTAATAATGTGTCAATACTGGTTCCCTTAATTGTAACACATGTACTGTATTAATGTAAGATGTTCGTAATAGGGGAATTTGGATTCAGGGCATATGGGAACTCTGTACTATCTTCTCAATTTTTCTGTAAATTTAAACAATCCTAAAAAATTAAGTCTATATTCACACTGGAAAAGTCCTTATTAGTGCAGTGAATGTGGAAAAAAATTTAAAAAAGAAAAAAAATTAAGTCTATAGTTTTAAAATCAAAAATAAAACTCAAATCACCATGTCATGATGTGTTAAACTGGGACTTTCCAAAATAAGAATATCCAGTCACACTGTTATAGTTTTGTACTTCAATTTAAAAAATTGCATTTAAATGTGAATCATCTCATCTTTATCTCATCTTTTATAATTTCTATTGTATATATGTTTATAGTATATGTAATACATAAATATAGAGAGGTATATGTCAGTTTTTAAAATATGCATATTGGGGATATGCTAATTTTTACTGACATTATAGAACTAAATTATTAGAGAGCTATATTAAGGTATTAAACAAAGTAAGTCAAAAACTAAATTAGAACTTCTTAGAGGCAGTCAT